TCCAAGAGCAAAGGAAAGCCACTAACATGTTTCGGCGGGGCAGTGACATGGGGAGATCCTGCAAAGTCACAGCTGTATGCGCTTGATCTGCTTTATGGCCCAGAACCTCCTCCCTGACCAGCTTCTCTCCCCGCCCCCCCCCCCGTTCTTTATTTGCATTATTCCCAGTGACTCCGTGGGGGAGGTAGGTAGGTGTGCCATCGGTGTTATAGTTGAGACGGCACCAACGTCGACTGGTTTCCTTCGTGCGCTGCTGCTCCCAAGGGCAGGTTTCTGGATCGTCTGGTGCCTGTCCCAGGACTCCTGGGGGGGAGACGGGTTGCTGCAGAATACCAGCAGCCACAGTTGTCACTACAGTGAGTTACATTCTTGCCACCCCTGGTTGGAAGGGAGACACACAATGCTGGGTCTCCTTGAGCAAAACAGCTTGCCCCCGAGTGGCCTCCTTTGCATCATCCAGCTTCCACGAAGAGCGAATTGTTAGTTGTTCCTTCATAGACTATGACCAGCAGCTCTACTGTGACAACCTCATTTTAGGAAATGAAGGTGCTTTGAACCAAATCGAAGAACCAAATCTGATGTGACTCACCTCTGTGTTTCGCAGTGGGATCCCCACTGCTGAGGTCCACGCAAGCCCTGGGCAGCTGCCCCACTGCTTGGCTGTGGGCTCTCATTTTCTATTAATTCCCCAAGGACTGGCTGCTCGCAGCTGTTGCTGGGTCAGTTGTGGAGAAACCTCTTTAATATTAGAACATGCAGTCATGGTTGGAGCATTTGGGTCCTTCCTGACACAGCCCTTGGAACCCCCGGGAGACCCATGTCACACCCCAGGTTCTAGGGAGGGGAGGGAGGTTGTGAGGAAGACTGAGAAGGGCCACAAGTGACCTTTAGTGATCCCACTGGATGGTTTCCTGGGGCTGTGACTGTACACAACTGGGATGATTCTGGAAACAGGATGACGCTGGACTGGATGGCTTGATGCACAGTTTGTGGAAACTGGTCCCACCACTTGGATCACTAAGGCGAGATATGAAACTCCTACCCTCACCATGAAGCCCAAGGGCAACAAACACATTGCTTCTACGTAGTAACCATGGAAACCCTGGTAGTCGCCCTCTGTTGTGGATAACCTGGCACTGGAACAGACCCCTGGTGTTTTTGCTACTTGGAGAGATGGCACCAAGCACTCCCCAACTCCTCCCTTCCCGCCATCCCACCACTTTACCCCAGGCAGGGCTTAGGGTCCCAGGAAGAGGTCCCTCGGCTCACCAGGCTCCTGGTGGATGCCGAAGGGAAGAGCCCTGGGGAAGGGAAGCAGAAGGATGGGAATGAAGACAGGAAGGAATGATGACATCCAGCAGTGCTGGTGAGAGACAGGCAGGCTAGGGCAGGCTGTTGGTGTCATTGGGGATGCTATTAAGGGCATTCATGAGGCAGCACGCACGTCTGGAGTCCCATCTGACCGGCATCAACAAATGTCCCTGTTCCATTCATTCTGGAAGGGGAGCTTTAATTAGGCATGAAGAGATTTATCAAACAGCAGCCCCTTGGAGCTGTTGGTCTCTTTGCCATCTGGACGGATAGCTTCGTACCCTGTGACAACAGCAGTGGGAATGATTTATGAGGTCCCACAGCCCCACTCCCTGGGCCTGGTAAAACCTAAATGGCTTTTGTCTTCTCCCAAAAGGAGGGAGACTTTGCCTTTGTTGATGGGCACACAAGCTAGGGTTCATGGTGAGGTATATCTGACTCTTTGAAGGTGATCTCAGACCCATGGCAGCCAAGACTGTGCTTGAGGTCGGTTTCCAGTTTGCAGTGAACCAGCCACAGGGATTAATAGAAGATACCATGGACTGGGGATAAGACTGGGGTGCAAATTCTGCCAGTGAGCTATGGGGCTTCACGTAGTTTTTTTGGTCTCGATTTTATGACCCACCCAACAAGAATAATGATTTCTGCATCTGCCCAACACATGTGATTTTTTTTTTTTTGGAGAGTTTTATGACATTACAGATGCAAAATGACTTCATTAATTACATAGCCCTCCACAAGCATTAAGGATTTAATCCAACAAACATTTATTGAGCAACTGCTGTGTGCTTTGCACCACTCTTGGTGCTGTGATGGACACAGATGAATAAAACACAGTCCCTGCCCTTGGCGAGCTTACAATCTAAGAACGGTCATAGGACAAGTGCACAATAACTATAATACAAGGCAGAATATGGTAAGTGCCATGAGAAAGGTACAAATAAAGTGCTACGGTGGTTCAGCGGAGGGAGAGATCCCAGTGGTTGGTAGATCAGGGAGGGCTTCATGGAAGATGTGGTTTCTGCACCGGCCTTGAAAGGAACAGAAGAGAGGGTCCCAGGAGATGAGAACAGCAAGACCAAAGGCACAGAGACAGGAAAACCAGGCACCCCTTCCAGCAATGACGATTCTCAATGGACCAGTGCAGGGAATAAAGAAGGAACAGGTCCTTATCTGATGATCTGTAATGTCAGGGTGGTGACTTGTACCTTGTTTTGTGGGCCAGGGGAACTTTTAAAGGCTTCTGAATTGCTGGAGATAAAAATCACTATGCATATGCAGGATGGGTGGGGGTGTGCAAGCATGCCCAGAGGGAAATGGGGGTGCAGGGAGGGGGAAGAGAGTGCTGCTAAAATTGTGCAAGCAAGGGAGAAGCCAGGGCAGTGATGGTGGGAAGGGTGACAAGGGAACCCATGAAGAAGAGTCAAAGATGACTTTAGGGTCTCAGACTTGGGTAGTTGAGAGGCTCACGGGGCTTCTAGCAAGAAGAGGGGGGGATCGTGGAGGAAGGGGAAGCAGAGATGATAAGCTTGGCTTCGAGGTATGGAGTCTATGGCGCCCCTGGAGCAGGTGGGGTGGGCACACAATGGAAGGCACCAATGTAGGGAGTGTCCGTGCAGTGGGGCAGGGTGGGAGGTGGGAAATAATGGCCTGACCCATCTCGGGTCCTATTTAGAACAAGGGAAGGGTGGTAATAAATAAATCATAAATCATAAATACATAAATACATAAATACATAAATAAATAAATGATGAAGAGACATTGGGAAGCGAGGAGAAACACCGTGAGTACATGGCATAGTAGGCACGGAGGGGATGGGTGTCCAGCAGGGGTCGCTGTGGAGCCCAGTGATGTGGGGAGCTCCGTGGTGATGAGGGGTCTTCTGATGAGGCAACACGGAGGGTGCTGAATCTCCCGTCTTCAGAGCATGGAGAACAGGCAGGTCATGGGGGACAGCACTGCAAGCACCGGAGACCCCTTCCTGGGGCTGCTGGTGCAGGGAAGGGGAGGGAGGGAAGAGGATGCTGGAGCCGGGATGGGTGGGAGAGTGTGTGCTGGTGGAAGTGAGGACAGAGGCGGCAGAGTGGCTGGGGTGTGTAGGAAAATGTCACTGCCCAGAGGATGGATGTCACGTTCTCAGAAATGGGCGGAAGGAGAGGCGTGTGGAGGAAAGAGATCAGGAGATCTGGGGGAGAGATGGTATTTCTGGTGGCTTCCTCTCTTCAGCCAAGGAGGCGGCCGATGGAGGGGGTGGTCATTTGGGGGCTTGGCCAGCATGCAGGTCTCAGAAGCTCCAGGGTGGGTGAGGGTGGGGTGATTGGGGACGGCTTAACAGTCAACAGGAGGTGACCGTAAGGGTCTCCTGCTCCCAGGATGGCTGTGACCACTGCAGTTACAAGGAGGTGGACCAGGGTGGCGGGGACAGGGTGCAGGCTGGGACTCCTCGGGGCCACCCAGGCTAGCTGGCTTGTGCATTTAGCTGCTCTCAACGGGCAGAGGGGACGGGCTGCCTCCTGACTGCGTGCCCAGGTGGAGGAGCAAGAGGAGGTGGGGAAAGCCCAGGTCCTGGAGCTCCTGCCATCAGGTGGCCGGTGCACTTGGGCAGTGCAGGACCTGTGAGTTGGGGAATGGAGGGGTGCGGAGGGTCCTGGCTTCCCAAGGCAGGTTGTCAGGGCTCCTTCTACTTCAACAGCCACTGGTGTCTGTTTAAGGAACCTAGACCAATATGGGACAGAAGGAAAACCAGCTCTTCCACGGAGCTCTGGCCTTAAACTGCCCCACAGGGCGGACTGCTGGCTGGTACACGGACCGTGCGGCCAATCCAGGACCTGACGTCCCAGCTCCCCTCAGGACTCACCACTGGAACGTTCTGGAGTCCAAAGCCCCGGTTAATCCACCGAGTCCCAGGCAATTCTACCTGCTCCCCAGGGCACTCCCAGCTTTAGACATTAAATGTCTTCCAGGGCCTTTGAGATCCTCCCGATGAACGGTTCTGGAGAAGTGTAAAATATGATACTAATTATTTCCACTACTTGCGAGGAAGTCCAAACGACGCAGTTCCCACAGAGGCTGTTAGGGCTGTTGCTTTTTAAATATTCATTTTATAACGCAAATCCCAAATCTCAGACTTGAAGCGTCCACGGCAAGGACAACAAGAGAAGAAACACAGAGAGGCAGGGTGGCGGTCGCAGCCATGGCTTGGACACGAAGCACCCATGTGCAGGTGAATGGTTCCGAACATCCTCCCACCGCCTCCGTTTGCTGCCCACCAGCCGTTAATTTAGAGCAAATGTCCTGGTCTGAATTGCTGCTGATTAATTATGTCCGATCTCATGTGCTTGGGAGCAGATCTCGGTTACTTTTCTTAACTCCCTTCACCTTCCAGATAATGGTTTTTTACTTATCTTTCAAATATGTTTTAAAACACTGTTATTTATCAGGCAAGGGAATACATCCAAACCGCCTAATGCTTGTCTATATGTGACCTCTGATTCCAGCCCCTAAGTGATCGGCATGGAGCCCAGATTTCCCCGGGAAGATTATGCCCAGTATTTGGATATTGCATTTGGATTTGGGCTAAAAAAAAAAAAAAAAAAAAAAAAGTCTTTATAATTAATCTTCAAGGGGGCAAAAGGGATTTTGTGAAATTTTCAAATCATTGCCTCCGTGGTGAGCATGGGTGCGTGGGGGTGGGCAGCGGAGCCTCTCCCTGCACGCTGGAGATGTTCAGTGTTGGAGCTCAATGCCCTCTAGTTGTGACATCGGGAGAGGAAAATGACGAGAAAGTGACATGGTTGCGGCAGTCTGGCTGCAGAGGCCCCGTGAGCACACGATGTAGGAAGCAAACAGAGTGGTTACAGAGAAATGAAGCAAGGTGCTTAACATCCTTTTAGGTCTCACACTCTGGGGCTCTATGAGGCGCCCAGAAAGGCAATCATATGTATTTTAAAAAAGGATGACATTTATCTTGACGGTGCCCTTTCAAGCTTTGGCTGTGGCTTCCCTGGTGGAAGAAGGGGACAGGACGGTCCCTCATGTGACATTCTAATAGAGCAGGAAGGGGGCTGACCCAGCGGGTGACATCCCAGGGTCCCTTCCTCCTTGGTGGACTCTAGTCATTTTAAAGAACACCCACCAGACCACCACGTCCTGGACACTCTTCTGCCTTACTGTGGGGTGGAGTGCTGTCCCCAAGCAGGATATCTCAATTTTCCCAAAACGCCAGGTGAACACCCCCCGTGGTCTTCAGGGTCATCTGCCTGGTCTGTCCAGGTTCTTGGTGGTTCTTGCAAAGCCAGAGTATGGACTGTCCTTGGTTTCTTCTCTAGCCGTCTTTCCATAGCTGTGGAAGCCTGTCTGGAACAGGTGGATCCACCGTGAATCATCCCTCGGACAGTTAAACTCTAGGTTTGTGGAATAAGGCCCGCGGCCCTGAAGTGGCCTCTGCTTCTTGGTGTCCTTGTCCTGCTTTGCCAGGCTGAACCCCTCAACCTCCTTCTCCTCTGTGAACAGCACCATTTTAGACTTGGGTCCATTTGTCCCCTCTGGGTCTTGGCTCACCCAGAATCCACGTGTCTCAGAGGCTCGGGGCAGCTGCCAAGAAGGGGCTCCCCATTCATCCATGAGCCCAAAGATCTCTCCAACCCAGATCATCCAAAGTCATGGGACTGGCTTCTTTTCATGTCAAGTCCTTCTGCCCCTAAAGATGGACTGAGTCTCAATCCGGTTTGGGTGGATTCTCCACACCTTCTTCCTGTGGCTTATCTGCCTAATGCTAGATGAACACCACACAGTTATAAATACTCAGGTCAATATATATATGCAGGTATATATATATATATTCTGGTCACTGTTTTACACTTTAACAAAGAAAACCACTAGCCTGCTTGTTCTATAATTTGCGCCACCCCGACTCCCATCTGCCTGTGGTGTAGCTGGCAGGAAATGTGAGCCACTGAGTCCCACAGGGTGCCCACCTTACGTGGCCCCATCGCACTGGCCAACAGTCAGTTTCAAAGCCCCCTGCTCATGCAGGCTCTTGAGGGCCTTGAACTCCAAGGGCATGGTGTGGGGGCTGGCCTGGGAGGTGTAGCCATACTTGAGGCTGTCGTAGTAGTGGTACTTGACGGGGTTCTGGTTCTGATCTAGTGGAAAGGGCCAGAAGCCATAGAGGTAGATTTGGTTGCAGAAACGTGTGGCCAGGGTGTACATCAAGAGACCAGTGGTGGGTCTCTTGATGTGGACCTTGTTGGTTAGCCAGTACCTGAAAAAAAAAAAAAAAAAAAAAAAAGAAAAGAAAAGAAAAAGAAAGAAAAAAAGAAAGAAGAGAAAAGAAACATGAGTTTGTGAATCATCCTTTCCAGGAAGAGGACAATTTTAACCTGTCCAGCAGTCTGCCTCATCTTCACCATTCCAGGAGCTGCGGAGACCAATCCAGCCACTGACCCCTGGTTCCTTTCACAGAGGACTGACTACCTACCTTTATTAAGAAACAGAACTCTTCCCTATGCTGTGAGCTTTCACATATACGATTTTTATGGAAACATGAGGAGCCCATTAGGAGGTACAGATGCAGAAATGAGACAAAGAGACAAAAGTGGCGTGCCCCATGCCACCTAGGTAGAAAGGGCAAGACCTTGACCTGGACTGAGGCCTGTTGAAATCTAAAGTGGGAACAGGCAAACTTTTTCTATAAAGAGCCAGCTGGTAGATATTTTTGGCTTTGCAGTCACGCTCCTGGCCTCTGCTGTGGGAGCATGAGAGAGCCAGCCACAGAGGACTCATGTGGGTGTGGCAGTTTGCTGCTCGGGCTGCTGCATGCAGACCCCCTATTGAGGGGTGGCTCTTGTACGGTGCCCCCCCATCTTCACTTTGTGGAGGGTCCCATGTGCTTCCCTCTGCATGTCACCATTCCTGACTCCAGCAGAGACTTCCTTGTCTCTTGAGCATTATAGGATTTCCTTCCATCCCCGCCTGCAGGACTCCTACCCTCTAATGCAGGTTGCCCACCTCTGACCATGGGTGGCTGCCTTGAGAGTTGAGGAGACACTAGAGGGTGCTCTGCCCAGTGAAACCAGGTTCTGCCATGCTCTCTTCTCAAGGCCTGTTGTGGCGCTTGGTGTATCTCCTTCTGAAATGGGAGTTCCCACTTCCTACCTAGGAATCTGGCAGGGATAACGAGAGGAGCTATGGAGAATTGGGAAGAGCACGGCGTTGGGCTAATGGACACCAGTGCTGGAGGAGGCACTGAGCTACCTCTGCACATAGAAGGTCTCAGTTTACCTTAATCAAGACAGCATTGAGGAAGAACCCAGCTCCATTCCACAGATGAGGAGACAGAGGTCTGGGGAGCTACCAACATTTTAGACCTGCGTTTCAAGTGACAGTTCTGTTAATAGCTACCTGCGTGCCTTTGGGCTGGTCACTTCTCCCTGCTGGACCTAATTTTTCACATCTTTGTGATGATGGGCCATAGACTAGGGGATCTCCAAGTTCCAACACAATCTAGACCTTTCTCCAGAAGCTGGAAAACGTCCATTCTCTTTGCCGCCATTTTGGCTTTCCGCTATGGTTCTTCTGCTTGGATTTAGAACTCACTGGGATGTGTGGTTTAACCTCTTTATTTCTCACAAAAAGCTTCTGCTAACCTTACGCTGGATGCCTTTAAATGCAATGCATATATGCCTTGGTGGAAAGATGGAGTTCCTTACCATCAACTCCTCACTACTGTGTGTCCACACCAGACACTGGCCATGTTTTTCTGTCCTCAAACTCTGTGCGCCTCATCGCACCTGGTCCACCTGCCACTGTGAAAAACATCCACTCCCCAACCCCAGCGCGGCTCCTGAGGACACCTCGGCCCAGTGGCAGGTGTGACTTTATAGTCAAATGCACCAATTAAATTCAAGCCAGAAGCAAATGTATGCCAGGCAAAACATTTACATGTTGCTGAAAGTTGAAACTGCCTCATATTTTTCACAGTGCTTTTGGGGAAAAGTTGGGTGGGTGGGGGGAAGATTTTCTAGAAGCTCCAGCACGCCCTTCCTCTTGTAAGTGGTTCTTTCTACCGACCCAAAAATGAAACACCAAGATGTTCCAGAAAGTTCACCTTAAATCCTTTTTTTTTTTTTTTGGAGGCGATTAGCCTTTGAAACAGACAAAGGTTACAGATTCCTAGTAACACACATAATTTTAGTAAATAATGTAATATTTTATATAATGAAACATATTTCAAGGACCCCTCACCCCATCCTGTGAACATGATTCTCGGAGGCACCGTGCTGACCTCCAGGAGAGCCCCTAGACAGAAAGTCTTTTGTCGTAAGCTTGTCAGTTGAAGACCACTTTGCTTGCTTCTCCTCCTGTTTCATTCTGTCTGGGCCAAGAAACTTCCCTATGGGTGAATTTTTCAACCCAGAATCAGATGGAAGGGACAAAGGCAGGGAGCAAGACAATGGCTTCACTAACCACAAACACAACTGGGAATAGGGAAAAGCCTGTGTGGACATCCTACAGACCTTCATCATTTCTTCCCTGAACTGCTGAGAGGCTTACTCCCAGCTGATATGCGGGAGGCATGGTGCTGGCTCAGGGGGGTCCATGGTTGAGGCTCACGAGATAAGATGCCCTTCCTGAGATCACTTGCACACTGTAGGTTCAATGTGGCTGAACTGAGCTTGGGAAGGTGCTGAGGGGCAAAGGCAGGGAAGTGGAAGGAGGAAAGAACTCCAGCAGAGTAGCAGCCAATGTTTGGATCACCCCACACATCCTTCCAAAGTGCTCATCCACCTTGGTTTAACTACCTGTGATGATGGGGAGCTCACCCCCTTCTAAAGCTAGTCCATTGCATTTTCAGTTCTAACTCAATGCTTCTCAACCAAGGCTGTACACTGAGTCACCTGGAGCTTTAAGAAGACAGATCCTGAGTGCAACCTCCGGGTGTAGACTGGACACTGGGATTTTTAAAACCTCCCCCAGTCATTCAAATGCGCATCCAAGGTTAAGAAGCCCTGCTCTCACTGGTGGGTGGTTCTGCTAAGAATGAGGTATATTTAGAGAAAATATGGGCAAAGAGAAAGCCTCAGGTACAGTCATCAAGTTTTAAAGATGATTGGGCTGGGGGAACTTGTCAAGCCCAGTGGCCTGGCAGGAGATGTACTGAGTGAGCTGGGAGCTGGGATGTGTGTAGGGAAAACCAGTGCCTGCCCTCAGGGTTGCCAAGACAACAGGGAGGGTCCCATGGTGCTGTGGCATCTAAAGGGGTAGCCAGTTTTATTATTGTCCAGTATAGTGTGTCAAAGTGTGTATGAGAGAGCTGGATTTTTATGCCATTTCTCCAAATTTTTGAATGTTGGCAACTAATTAAAAAAAATTAGAAACATCATGTGAGGTCCTGTTGGGTGAGTCAGCAGACCATATGTGTGGGTGATCCACGGGCCTCCCAGATTGAACTTGTTCTCTTGTTTCAGGTTCCAGAAGGAAAACAGGAGAGTCCAGGGGGACAGGCCCAAGTAGAGGCACTCCTCGAGCTGCTGGAAGGCTTAGAAAAAACGTCGCGTAGCCTCCCCGCTCCTGGTTTTGGGCCTTTTCCTCCCCATGGTGATTCTGGGAGGGTCGTGGCCCGACATGAGCTGGCTGTCGACCCTCCCGAGGGACGTGCAAGCCACTGCAGTGTCCCTGCCTGAGAGCACAGCGCTATTTGCTCCCTGTGCAAATTTAAGCCCTAACACCGGTCACAAATGCCTTATTAGGGATTTGTGGTTTGTTTGTTTTCCTATTGTAAGGCCTTAGCCTGAGAAGGCATTCAGAAGTGAATTTCTTTTCAGGACATCAGTGCTGTGCTCAGAGACATGGAGGGAAGAGTTTGATCTGTGGGAGGTCTGAGGTTACTCGGACACATGCTGCGCCCTGCCTGCAGGTGGGACTTTCCTCCTCCTGTCCCCAAGGTGAACTGCCTTCCCCTCCCCACCAAAACTAAGCACATGAATTACATCTTCCTGGAAATGTTCCTTTTGTTCCGCCCTCTTCCTCCTGGTTCATGCTGAGGTAATCACTTCCACGTATTATCATGAACTTGGCTTCTACTTCTGCTGTTGTGCTTGTCAATCTGGCCTGACAATTCACCACCGTGTGGGTTGGCCTCCTACACAGAACAGTGCTGGCATCTCCCCGGGGGCAGGGGTCATGCCTCACACGACTGGTAAGGGGTTCAGAGGCACCTGGCTCCCTGCATGGCACAATCAGGGCACTGTGGCATGGACAGAAGCACTCAACAAACACTCCATATGCCCTCCTACATCTCCCAGCATTCCTTGCAATGGGGCTGCACTCACGTGACCAGTTCTGGCCAAGAAGCTGTGACAGGAAGTGTGTCCTTTGGGGGCCAACCTTCTCCTCTGCCTTAGGGACCCTCCAAGCCTCCCGTAAAGATGGTGTCAGCCTAACAAGGAAGAAGCCTAGATCCCTGGATCATCGACTGGAAGAGAGCCAGTGATGACCTGCATCACACTTCCCATGAGCGAGAAATCAGCTTATTGGGCTAAACCGGGAGGGGCTGGGGGGTCGTTACTGCCGCGCAACCTAGAACCACTATCATCCAGGGTTCCAGGTGCTCAGCAAATGTCTGACTCACATGGAACTGAAAAATAGGAAGAAGTAAAAAAAGAGGAAGCGGGAAGCCAGCATGGCACACAGGTTTGTACCTGTGGCTGGGAGGGACAGAGAGAGAGGGGCACAGCCTCTCGGATCTGCTGCCAGCTTTCCCCCAAGAACCAATCACTGGGAGAGGTGTTAACAGCCCAGGAGGCTCCAGAATGAATAGGGAGCTCAGTGGCATGGAGGGGCTGACGTATTTCCCATCCCGGCACCACAGGTGAACAAGAACACTCCTGAGCCATGTCTGACTGGGACGCGGGGGCGCCATTTAATGAGCAGCTTGTAATAGCCGCTGACTGAGTTACATGGGAACAAATCATCCTTGATTTCCTTTCTATCCCCCTCAGCCACTCTGGCCAGCTTAGAGACTGTGTGTGTGGCCGACTTGTAGACGATTTCCTTCCTCAGGATAACAGCTGGGTGTTAAAACACAAACTAATTAATTTTGCCTTCCCAAATGAGGTTAGCTGGGTGCATCCAGGACGTTGTATTGACAATGCACCTTTAATATTCCAGTCTTGAGATTTTAATTAGAAGGCAAAGTAATCATAAAGAAGGCAGTAATTATTTTCCAAATTGGTTATCCCAATTGCCAAGACGATTAAGTGC